TCATGATGGCAGGTTTTGCATTTTATCTTTCTTTTCAGTAGTTTCTTCTTTTGGAGCCACTTGATGAGTTTTAATGTTTTCCGTTTTGAGATTTCTCCATTAATGAGCCTCCTGACCTGTTTAAATCGGCTCACTGTTGCAATAAAAACGTTTGGAAAAAAGACGCATTAAAAAAATTAGGAAGACATACATCTCCCTATGTGGGCATATGTCGGGTTGATTCGTGACTCCCGCATTTGTTACGTCATCAAGAGTGGACGGGAAAAGTCGAGGTGTCAGCAGCGTCATCAAGTTTCTGCATTCGGCTCAGAAGAACTAGGCCTAACTCTGGCATACATCGAAAAGGTGTGCAGACTCGCGCTAATAAGCGCGTGCCACTGTGGAGATGAACACACGGGAGGACGTGACGTAGCGGACAGTGCCACTAGCAGTAAGTGTGTGTTTTAATAACATGTGAGTGAGTTACTAGCTAATGAGCTAATGTTTAGCATTGGGACGAGCTTAACTTTTTGAGACACTAGACCCACTTTGCATCTATCAGAGTTTTGTTTAATAACTTGATCCAGGATGAAAAAAATTACATGTATTCACTGAAAGTTCCATGAAACGAATTAGAAAGTGCACATTCTTTTAACCCAAACTTCTGTTGCCTGAATTGAGAAACAGTCCTGTTTTACAATGATTATTATAAATGTCACTTTTGGATTTTAGGTGCATCTTTGGCCCCAACTGCTTTGTTGAGGGAAAGAAGAAAATCCCATGAGATGGAGATGCTGCAGATGAAAGTGGAGTGGCAAAATGAGAAGATTGATGAGCTGACCAAGGAGAGGGATTACTTGACAGAACAGTTGGCATCAGGTAAGACTCTTTGCACTACACTACACTGAACAGTATAGTATAGTTTGTTCATGTGCAACTGTATCCAAACTCCATGGATTATTGTATATGGCTAATCCATATATTTTAGGGATTTATAATAGGTAATTATTTTTTATAACAAAAGTAAATGTCAGCTGGCCCCCAAAAAAGTACTATTTCACAAGCAACACAAATTACAAGTTCCAATGTCATCTAGAAATGACTACATTAAAGTATAATTTTCTTTAAAAATATGAAAAAGTGTTATCTTCAATACAAATGTAATTGTTCGGATTTCCTTGGTAAAGCAGTAGTATGATTAAAATCAGATATGTAGTCTGTAGTTTTTGGAGGACTGTCTCAAACAGTGTACACAAGCATAGGTAACCTAATGTGACATCCTCATGTCAATCCAGCTGTGGTGGTGCTCTCTTCTTTCAGAGCAAAGGGTACTGCAGCTGTTTAGCAAGATGAATACCTTATTTGAATTGTCTGAATGATGGTTGTGTCCTTGTTTGTGTTTTTACAGCTCTTAATAAAGACAGGAAAAGCCTAACAAAGGCCTCTGAAGAGGCAATAAACTTGTCCTCCAACTCCTCTTTTGACACCTCATTTGTGGCTTCCAAATCATCATCTCACTCCTCCACTGACATAGACACATCGTCGGATGAAAAACATACCAGAGAGGTAAAAATATTAATTGTAATTCTTGTACTCTTCAGTTTTATTTATTTTTTTCTTCTGGTTCATCATGTGTCAGTATGTCACATACATTTACTTACAGTGGATAACAAATAATCTGTACTCTGAATTGCAGCCCAAAGTCCAATACATGTGGTGTCCCGATACAAAAGTATTCTGCAGCTCTTCAGAAGAGGAGGGAATATGGCTACAGGTTTCAAGCACTATGGAGTGGACAGGAACACAGTTGTCATCACTGCTCCAATTGCAGAGCTTTCTATTGTTGCCCCTAGCAAGTATAAAGATGTCTTGAAAAACTACAACCATCAGGTTAAGCTCTCTGTATTTGCAGCACAGTGTGCCTTTGCCATTAAGGAGGATGCAGCAATAGAAGAAAAGCTTAAAGCCTATAAGGCTTCTGGACAGCTGCTTCCCTTCAAAATGAAGTGATGTAGCATGATATTGTTAGTAGAGACAGCGTTGTGTTCAGGGTTTGAAAGAGTTA